AAAAAAAAAAAACATAATGGTCAAGGATGCTCATGCCATGGTACTGACCGGCCACTTGTCCACAGGAGCCACATCCAGCTCGGCTATCAGCCGAGGAAGCAGCCCAACGCCTTGCACGTCTGGACACTAACTCACCTAGCATATTCCAGCACCTGGACCAGCTCAAGGCCTTCTTTGCGGAGGTGAGGGGAGGCGGGGCTTCATCTTCCTACTCTGTGAAATGGGTTTAACTCCACTGTCCTTACGAACTTCTTGGGGCAGATGGAAAACCTAAATCAAGACCACTGGTGTTAGACACCTTTGGAAAAGAGGTAACAGGAAAGGAATGTGGGAGTGGGAGTGGGGCACCTTCTTTGCCAAGGCCTAGACAAGGTGTTGACTCGCCTAACCGTCTCTGAAAACCTTCGGGAGACCAGAAGTAAGGGTCTTGGCCTTGGGTGTTTCTTTCCTCACCTTCATGCTTACATCAGAATGCCTCCCGGCCCGACGTTTTTAGTTTATCCTCTCCTGCTGCCAGCAGGCTTGGGAATATGAACTAACAGTAACAGGATTGGAGGACCAAAGTTGAGACCAAGCTTGAGATTCTGAAGGACCATCCTTGTCCGTCCCTGCATCTCACTTACTTTCTGAGATGCCCTCCTGAAAGCCCACTGATCTCTCTTGACTGTTTCTCAGAGGGACCTCTGCCTCTATGATGCCTAGTCTGTGGCCACTGGGGGTTGAGAGGAGAGGAGAGGAAAGAATGGCAGCCCAGGCTGTATGTACGGGAGTGGGGCACCCGGCTGACCACGCAAGCATAGCTAGCCTGGTACTCTTACTCTGTAGGTCATCAGTGATGGCGTGCCCCTGGTACTGGCCCTGGTTCCCCACCGGCAGTCCCACTCCTTCATCATCCAGGGCTCCTCAGACCTGTTGGTAAGTGCACCAGGCAGAGCCCATCTTAGCTGCACCCCTCACTGACTCCGCCCCACACCCACCTCTGCCCCCTCTTGCCCACAGGTGACCGTGAGTGCCAGTGGGCTGCTGGGCACCCACAGCTGGTTGCCCTACGACCGTAACATAAACAACTACTTCAGCTTCAGCAAAGACCCCACCATAGGCAACCCCAAGTAGGACACAGGGATGTGGGCAGGGGTGGGCTCTAAATACCCTGTCTCCTGACTCGTCTTCCCACCCAGCCAGAGCGTGGGCCGGTGGCGGGGTCTGGCCTAGGTCTCTGAGGGCCTGGGTCTTCTTGGCCTGGCCTCACCTGTCATCCCCCTCACTGGGTCAGGATGCAGCGACTGCTGAGTGGCCCGTGGGTGCCAGGCAGTGGTGTGAGTGGGCAAGCCCTGGCAGTGACCCCCGACGGAAAGCTGCTGTTCAGTGGTGGCCACTGGGATGGCAGTCTGCGAGTGACCTCACTATCCCGGGGCAAGCTGTTGAAGCAACTCAACCGCCACCTTGGTATGGGCAGCCTTGGAGGTGGGGTGGTGCGGGTGGGGGTAGCTGGCCAGGGGGGGGTGTGACTACTCTGTTCCATTTGTACCCTCCCCTCCCCATGCAGATGTAGTGACCTGCCTTGCATTGGACACCTGCGGCATCTACCTCATCTCAGGCTCCCGGGACACCACGTGCATGGTGTGGCGGCTCCTGCAGGAGGTATGCTGGGTGGGCAGCCCCGTGGGGCCCCCGTAAGTCCAGACCTGCCCTTCTCTCTGCTACCGTGAGCAAGGCTGGGGCTCCACGACCCTCCAGCTCTCTGGCTTTGGACGAGGCCATCACTTTCCTGAGCCTTAGCCTTCTCACTCAGGGGCCAGGGTAGTGAGATGTCCCCAGTTCTGAGCCAGCCCTGGCTCCCTACAGGGCGGTCTCTCGGTGGGACTGGCATCAAAGCCCGTGCAGGTCCTCTACGGGCATGAGGCTGCAGTGAGCTGTGTGGCCATCAGCACTGAACTCGACATGGCTGTGTCTGGATCTGAGGTGTGTGTGCGCCTGTACCCAGGGGAGGCCAAGTTTGCTAGGCAATGCCCCTGGAGATTAGAGACCCCTGCCCAGCACCCTAAGCTGCCTTCCTGCAGGATGGAACTGTGATCATCCACACTGTACGCCGCGGCCAATTTGTGGCAGCACTACAGCCCCCAGGGGCCACGTTACCCGGACCTGTGTCCCACCTGGTGCTGGGGTCAGAGGGCCAGATTGTGGTACAGAGCTCGGCGTGGGAACGTGTCGGGGCTCAGGTATGGAAAAGGGGTGCTCAGACAAGAAAGGGGTAGTTGGTGTTCTGTCCTTGCTGACACCTCTTGCTTCTTCCAGGTCACCTACTCCTTGCACCTGTACTCAGTGAATGGGAAGTTGCGGGTTTCGCTGCCCCTGGTAGAGCAGCCCACAGCCCTGGCAGTGACAGAGGACTTTGTTCTGCTGGGCACAGCACAGTGTGCCCTGCACATCCTCCACCTGAACAAGTGAGTGCCACTGTTTATGAGTTCACGGGTCCTCAGGGTGGTAGTCACTGTAAGAAGACACCCAAGAGGTGCTATCCCCCAGCCCACCCCCACCCCTCTCTGGTGTGCACCCACAGCCCCTTACCTGTCTGTGGGCACATTCTTCATGGCTGTCTCCTGTCCCACAGTGGGCAGAGAAGGTACCTGGGAGAATGAAGAGACACAAAGCTAACTTGCACTTGAGAGCATATCCCTCCCTCCCTGCAGACTGCTCCCAGCTGCGCCTCCTCTACCCATGAAGGTGCCCATCCGAAGTGTGGCTGTGACCAAGGAGCGCAGCCATGTGCTCGTGGGCCTGGAGGACGGCAAGCTTATCGTGGTGGGCGCGGGGCAGCCCTCTGAGGTGAGGATAAGGGCAGGGCGGGCCTCGATCGGGGTGGGGGGCCGACAGTCCTGGCCCACTTCTCCCCAATCCTACTTCCCCCAGGCGCGCAGCAGCCAGTTCGCGCGGAAGCTGTGGCGGTCCTCCAGGCGCATCTCCCAGGTGTCCTCAGGGGAGACAGAGTACAACCCTGGAGACGCGCGCTGACAGCCGTCACGCAGGCTCCTCCCCCGGCGGGCCCCGCCCTTGGAGGCCCCGCCCAGGAGTCGGCGGGAACCCGGAGGAGGAGGAGACCAAGAGGCCGCGGCCGGGGGTCGGCCCGGCTCCGGGGGTGGGCGGGACCCCACCCCCGCCCAGCTCAGGGATTGGTGGGCGATTCACTCCAGGAAGTCCCGCCCCTCGCCGGCAGAGGGGCCGTCCGGAGTCTGGCACTGGCCTCAGCGGCAACACAGCACTTTTTTGCACAGTGTGGGGCGGGAGCCCAGGCTCCCCAGCCCCGCGTCCCGGCAGAGCACGGGGACCGGACTGTGGCCTTAATCTCTAAAGGCGGCCCCTCGCTCTCCCGGTCTCGGCAATAAACCTGGCCTGGTTTTGTAGCTGCTTCGCCTCCGAGTATGCATGCGCGCGGCGTCTCCGCCTGCCTAGGCCACCGTCCGGGCCTCGTGTCCCCCTGGCCCGTAAGCCCACCAGGGCGACTCGTTCCCTCCGCGTGGCCTCCGTTTCTCCAGCCGCGCCGTTCCGGTCCCTGTGGGCCTCAGCCACCTTTTCTCCCCTGCGGATGGCTCCCAGCTCTCAGCGCGCTCCCGCAACACCTCCGCACGTGTGCGCGTCCCTGCGCGGGGCGGGGCTAAGGGCGGCCACGCCCCGCGCGCCCCCGCGCTCGGGCCTAGGCGGCTCCTCCGCGGGACCGCCCGCCTTGCGCCGGAGCTGGCCTCCCCAGGGT